ACAGAGGCAGGCTAGAGTGAAAGGTTTGGCTCTAAAACTCTGGAGAACCCTAAGAACAGAAGTGCAGATCAGAATCTTCAAGGAACGCGAAAGGCAAGGCAGATAAAGAAACAGTTTCCAGAAGAGACAGCAGGGAAAAACAAAAAAGGAGGAGGCAGAGAAAGCAGTGGCCAGTGGCAGAGAGCATGTCCAGCCAAGCAGACAAGCCAAGGCTACGTAATATGATTGTTTCAAAAAGCAAAACACACCTTAAACCTTTTGAACATGGAGCCTGAGGAAAGCAATGAAGGATGTCACCACCAATAGAGACTTCAGCTTGTCAACTGTTGAGGTCCTCAACCAGCCCATCCATACTGTGGAATGAAGGTATACTGGTCACAGCAGTGGCATTGGCTCCTAATGAGGGCACTGAAGGCTGTACACCCATCCAGCTCTCATCCATCATTGTTTCTCTGGCCTCAGATGGTACAGAATGATGTTCTGAGAACTGCCCCAAGAGGATAGGACAACTTGGCATGACTGCTCTGGGCTATATCATCAACCCTGCTTGCAAGAGCTCTCTGCCTTCCAGAAGACTCCCCCGCCTCCCAGATTCCAAGGGGAAGCCCCCCTGCAAGTATATAGCTCATAATTTCCCTGCATCACATCACCTTCCACAACAGATAGCCACAACATCTAGCTGACGGTGGCTCAGCATAACTTAGTAATGTGTAGGGTTCTTGATGCGCCCACTGTGTCTTTGTGTGTGCATGTCCAAAGAAGGCCGAAGGGAGCAATGGGTCCCGCTAGAGCTGGAGTTACAGGTGACTGTGAGTAGACCAAAGTGGGTGCTGTGAACCTAACTTGTATCCTCTGTAAGAAGATTTAGCATTCATAACCTCTGAGCTATATCTCTCAAGGCACTCTACACATACATCTTTTAAAAGCATTTCTTGTGGCCGGGCGGTGGTGGTGCACGTCTTTAATCCCAGCACTCGGGAGGCAGAGCCAGGTGGATCTCTGTGAGTTCGAGGCCAGCCTGGTCTCCAAAGCGAGTACGCAAAGCTACACAGAGAAACCCTGTCTTGAAAAAACCAAAAAATAAAATAAAATAAAATAAAATAAAAAAGCATTTCTTTTCTTTTTTCTTTTGGGACAGGGTTTCTCTGTGTAGTTTTGGTGACTGTCCTGGAGCTCCCTCTGTAGCCCAGGCTGGCCTCGAACCCACAGAACTCTGCCTGGCTCTGCCTCCCGAGTGCTGGAATTAAAGGCATGTGCCACCACCACTGCCTGTCTCTATATTGAATTTTTAAAGAAAGTTGAGGCAGGAAAAGCAGGATCTTCTAAAAGATTTATTAAGCCAATTGAGTATGCACGGCTGGAGGAGAGGGGACGTTTGGGGGACTTCCACTTGATGTCCTGTGGTAGGGCACAGGCAGGGCGTGGGCTTCTCGGAGCTGGAAACAGAAGAGAGCTGAGGCTCACAGACCTGGGCCAACACAGGGAGTAGGACCGCTTCCCGGTCTGGGCCCTGCCAGCTGTCATTCCAGAGAGCCGGAAGTCCGAGAGCCGGAAGTCGGGGAGCCGACTGGCGGACACTAGGACCCGGGGGTGCGGGTCGAGCGGAAGGGGGCGCGGAAGCGGGCGGCGCGGGACTGCCGGGGCAGCGGGGCGGTGGCGAGCAGGTGACCGCCGCCGCCTTGGGTCGGGCGTGCGGGCCGGGCCGGTGCGGGCAGTGACAGCGAGGCCCGGAGCAGAGCGACCCTGCAGCGGATCGGAGGAGGCGGGTGAGGGCGCCGGGGGGCGGGCCCGGCCGTGCAGGGCTCGGGCTGCAGGGCAGAGACCCCCCCCTTGGCTGCCTGAAGTTTCCAGGGAGCAGGGGTGGGGGAGGAGGATGTGCTCCAGGGTGCCGGGCACTTCCGAAATGATGAATTGCATGGGAAGACACGCTCGTGGTGGGCGTTGGTGATTCTGGGTCAGTCCGGTGTTTATTTACCAGATGCCAAATGCCTGCCACAAGAAACATGTCATTCATGCTAGGGGGAAAAAAAAAAAAGAGTACGGTCTCTTGTCAATTTAATATAAAAAGAAATAATGATTAACATGGGTAGGTGCAAGAGAAACACTCTCATTCGGGATTGTTTATATGTTCATGGGACACATAAAAAGTCAAAATGATTAAGCAGGCATTTTTGGAGGCCTAGACCGAACTGCAACCACTTGCGGGGAGCGAGGAATTACTATGTCTCAGAACAAAACTCACGTATAGATGACTTCTGGCAAAGTGCTTTTATTTTTCAGCTACATCTCTGTCTTTTCAGCTGCTAGTTATTTTTCCCCATTAAGTAGGTGGCCTTCAATCCGTTTTAGATGGTGGCTTAGAAACTTCCCCTTGTGGGTGGGGATGCAAACAGACATCTATCCCCTCCTGACAGGGCCCCAGTGACAAACCAAAGTACAGTTCCATCAAAGCCATCTTTGGGTTTACCGCGTTTACTTACAGAACATGGGTGACCCCAGAGCAGCGGAATCACCAGAAAGTCACTCTGCGTGGATGATGAGCCCCGCTCAGTTAACTTTCCAGTGTGTACGCTAGGTGATGTGCAATTGGGACAGAATTTTACATACCGGGCCAGGAGAGGCAGGAGGGAAGGGCAGGACACCTCACCCCCACCCCCATGAGAGAATGGCACAAGTCCACAGGCCTGCCTTGAACTTCACGTTGGAAGTAGTAACCGTTACCCCAATGAAGATGGTGGCTGTCGGGCTTGGAGGGTAGCGTTCTGCACAAATGACACCCCAGACTTTTCCAGCGATGATAGCCGTCAGCCTCTTTGTCAAAGTAGATAGCAGTATTTAATTCCAGAGTTAACTGTGAAGATGGACAGCTACAACAACAATGCTGATTGACCAGGGGGGCTCAGAGCAGAGTCTCTTGTCTTCCCCCTAACATCAGGACCCACGAAGCGGGCATAGGGCAGGTTTTCAAGATAAGCTGTCTGACCATTGGGGCTGAAAAAAAAAAAAGTGAACTCTTGCATGGTTTTCATTTTTATATATAAAAACGACAGAACATACTGGTAGATAACAAGTTCTTGGATGAGATAATCGACTCATAGCTAGCATAAGCTAAGCATCTGATTGTTGAAGATGTCGTTGGGTCTGCCCAAGTTTCCTTAATTAAAATTGGGAGTACTAATAAGTTCCCGGACAGGAAGAGAGAGAGACGGCCATTGTGGAGATGAGGTGGACTGGCAGTAGTGGGTTTAAGGTATGTAGGTGTTAGCTGGTGATGAGGGTAGTTATAAATAGTAATTACCGTTCGTGGTGATATAGCATACTTTACTCCTGAGAGGAGCTGGGTAAACACAGTCAGGATCTACAAGATGGAATAATAAAACGACAATGCCATGATTAATTGTGATTCTTACCCCAAAGCCTGTTCTTGGATATGCCTTGCCTAAAAAGAGTAACAGAGACGCTTTATAAAAATTTCTAAAATTTTTTTGTGTGTTCAAATGTGATGTTGTGTGGGTACATGTGTGTCTTGCTGAGTATGTGAAGGTCAGAGGGTAACTTTTGGGAGTGGGTTTGTGGCGGCCCAGATTACTCAGTGTCAGAGAATCTGAGCTTGCTTTACCCAGCAGGGCTGCATAAAGGGATGATGGGACCGTGGGCATGGTTCCCCAAGTGTTTGGAAGGTCTGCACTTGGCTGTACAGTGTGCTTTGATGGCAAGGCGGAGGTCTTTTGCCCCGCCCCAGGCATTGTTATAAAAAGGCCTTTTGAGCCAGGCGGTGGTGGCGCACGCCTTTAATCCCAGCACTCGGGAGGCAGAGCCAGGCGGATCTCTGTGAGTTCGAGGCCAGCCTGGGCTACCAAGTGAGTTCCAGGAAAGGCGCAAAGCTACACAGAGAAACCCTGTCTCGAAAAACAAAAAAAAAAAAAAAAAAAAAAAAAGGCCTTTTGAAAAGACAAGAAGGGGCCAATGAATTTTGCTCCAGGTCCTCCCGAAGCTACCCTGTGTTTCTGTCTGTCTCCTCTCCACTATCTTTCCATCTCAAAGTTTCTTATTCCTCTCCCTTCCTCATAGGAACCCTTTAAAAGGTGGGAGGTGGCCTCGCACAGATGCTGCCCTGAACTTAGGTTCAGGGACCCCCACATGGGTTCTCTCCATCTACCATGTAGGTCCCAGGAACCTGACTCAGGTCAGCAGGTGGCAGCAGCTGCCCTTACCTGCCGAGTCATCTTGCCCGTCTGAGAATTAATTCTTTAGAAAATAGGACATGGGGAAGGATAAGGAAGGAAATTAGGTTCTGCCAGCTGCATATGTGATTTTGACTATGAAAATAATTGGGTGAAGTTAACAGTCTACTTTAATTGAACCCACTAGATCTCAAATGTGACAGTTGCAGCCTGTAACCAACAGGAATGAGATGTTGCAGCTGGAGGTCTTTGGTTGTGTATCGTTCTCCAGCTGCACGCTGTGTGTGTCACCTCACTGGACGACATGGGTCTCAGGGTTTCATACCCTTTTCCATCCACACTTGCTTCTATGTATCATTCTGTGTCTTGCTGCTCCTCCAAGGATTCTTACAGGGAAACCATGAGCTGTCATTTACCATTCTGCTCCAACTCCAGCTGTTCCTCATGCCTGATAGCCACAGGTAGCGCGGAGGGACTTTTCAGATGTCCCTAACCCATAGTGTTCCTCAGTAAAAACCGCATTCACAGCCCGGATTAGCCCTCTTGTGGGGACGTGACAGCCAGCCCTAACCCGATGGCACTGTGTTATTGCCTGCTCCATCCCAGTCAGTGACACTCACCCCAGAGTGCCCAGATCTGTGTAATAATTTACACATAGCTCCCCTGTGATGGCTAAAGAAACTTAATATGGTACCAGGCACCCCTTAAGGGGCCGTTGACCTTTGCCCTGGAATGCTTGTGAGATCCTGGTGGCCTGCAGGTGAGATAAGAATGTGGTGGTGGTGGTGGTGGTGGCGGTGGTGCACACCTTTAATCCCAGCACTCGGGAGGCAGAGCCAGGCGGATCTCTGTGAGTTCGAGGCCAGCCTGGTCTACAGAGCGAGATCCAGGACAGGCACCAAAACTACACAGGGAAACCCTGTCTGGAAAAACAATAAAGAACAGGCTAATGATGTTCCTGCTATGAGGTGTTTAACTGCTTGCTTTCTGCTCATGTAGACTTGGTATTTAACCCTTGCTTCTGCTCGTCACTGTGGGACTGGGGTGAAGTGGCGTTCTTGTTACTGTGCAGCAGGACAGAGGAACAACTGAGGGGGTTGGGCAGTTCTCTTCCTGCCAGCTGCGAAGTCTGGAGATAACTGTGATGTCCACCTCCCATGTCCAGCTTTGTGAGCCCTTCCTTCAGCCCCGCTCAGCATGGCATGCTGTGTGCCTCAAAGGCTGCCTTCCTTCGGTGAGAGTAAATTCATTCAATCTAAGTTTGAAGCAAGTCTTTGGTCTTTCCCAGTGGATTCCAACGCCACAGCATTCTCCACACAGGGGGGTTCGGTTGGTTTTGAGTCTGTCTGTCTGCCCGTCTGGTGGTGTATCTCACTCACCTCTGTTGTGATCGACACTTAGTAGCTGACTAGTCTTTACACACAAGATGAGAGTAAACGGCTGTGTTCACTGACCTAGTTCTCCAGTGGACCTGCTGCTTCCTTGTGTAGAGGATTTGTGTCTGTCCTACCCTCGGGGACATGTGCAGGGACACTCACTCATTCAGGTGCAGGAATTCAGCTTAAACTTTCTATTTTTTTTCCTCTTGATGTTAAAGATGGGAGCCCTCAGGCTTGAATTTAGGTCAGTGTGGCTAGCAAGCTTGCCTCAAGATCAGTGCAAGAGGTGAGGAGACATCTTTGAGAGATTCTGGACTCAGGGTTAGGTTCCTGGATGGTTGTGGAGCGGCTCTCTCCCTCTAAGTGACCTGATAAGTGCAGGGACAGAATGAGGAGCGACACTGGCTTGGATGGTTGCTCAAGGCGGGTTTCGATCTGGGAAGCTGAGTGTCCTGGTCACTGGAATAGGAAAGAGGTGCCCGTGCCAAGAAAACACTAAAGAGTGGAAGGATCAGATCTGGACGAATCTCGGCCCATGGAGGTAGAAGAGAGCCGGTAGCATAGAAGCAGGAGCCCAGGAAACCAGCAGGAGGAGCCAAGAATAGATATTAGCTTGGTGAAGGTCTTGTTAGGATACAGTCGGGGTCATACCTAGATTTTTATTACTGGAACTAACAACTGAGAGCAGGGTCAGTTCTCAGTCTAAAGAATGGAAGGGATCATAGTAAGAAAAGATAAACGTTTTATACACAGTCCCACAGCACTTTTAAAGCCTTCTGGTCCTTCCTGTCACACTTAACCCAAAGGCACTCACCTCCATTGTAATCGAGGGCTCCAGGGTGGTGCTTAAGAGGAAATCTGGGGTTTGGTGCCAGGCCTAATGAATGTCCTCCTCTCTGTCTTCTGGTGAGAGCCTGGGGTTGCCCCTAATTATAATGGCCTAGTGCCTCAGTATCAATTCTGTATGGTACATCTCTTGCCAATCATATCAGTGCAGTTATAGTGTGATTGCAGCTTTAGTGGCACTAGGGAGCAGCACTAATTAAACCCGTATATAATTATATATATAAATAGACCACTCTGGTCCTGTGGTTTAGAGATACTTTTTCCTGTCTTTGCACATTTTGGACCCCTTGGTCCAAATCTCTGGCCTGGGAGAGCAAAGCCTGGATGTCCCTCTTCCCAGAGGTGTGAGCCACTGCAACATCTGTCTCAGGGACAGCTTCTGAGTCCCTCAGACAGCCATGTGCGGGAGTCCAGCTCCAGCGGGGTTCAGGTCCCAAAGAGGAGGCGTGGAGTTGGCGAGGGAAAGAGACTGACACAATCAAGATGGCTGTCCATATTGAAAACAGGCTACACCTTTTACACTATAATTGCATTGTAGTTTAAACACAAGCAGTGTTGAAAGCATACTTAATGGTTCCAGGGTGAAAGCGGTCATCAGTGTCATTGCAGCATTTTTCTTGAAGCAGAAAACCGTAACTTTAGCCGGGCGGTGGTGGTACATGCCATTAATCCCAGCACTTGGGAGGCAGAGGCAGGCAGATCTTTGAGTTCTAGGGCAGCCTGGGCTACAGATTGAGTTCCAGGACAGCCAGAGCTGTTAGATAGAAAAAAGCCTGTCTCAAAAAACCAAAACCAAAAAACACAAAATAGTAAGTTTAGCAAGACTCTAAATGCCTATTGCCCTCTAAGGTTCAGTAACCCTGCCAGGTGCCCTCTTACACTTCCTCCTGCACGGTTCCAGACACTGATTTCTGAGAAACAAACCCATAAGAGCAGCTTTCATTCTTCAAGGGGCGTGAGGCAGCGTTTGTACCGCGTAGCACAACAAGCTTGCGCTGTTCCCTAATGGTATTCCTTTATGTATTGGTCATATAATATGGGCCTATTCCCCTCATCTGCTCCCCAAAGGGAAGGTCCTGACATCTTAATCTTTTTTCATTGTACCATACCATTCTGATTCCTTCAGTGTATGCTCCTGTGTATGGCAGAGGAGGAGCAAGCCAGTCTAACCTCCTAACAGAATCTGTTCCCCGTTGGACAGACCACATCTTGCCGTTCATCCCGTAAGCCACCAATCCTGGGCACTATTCTATCCTTACTAACTGAACTCTTGCCCTAAATGGCCTCAGGCTTTTGCTCTGGGCCCACTGTTTTTCTAGATGGTGTGTTTTTCATTCACGGGACCAGGTATGCCCAGGTAGTAAATCTTTAACTTCTCTATTCCTGGGTGTAATAGGGGAGGGGCACAGTGGGGAGTCCTGTGTGGGGCGGAAGCAGAGTTATCATGCTACATGGTTCCACGGTGGTGGGGATTATTCTTCCAAAGAATTATTTTGTCTAAAGAGACTGCCATTGAATATAGTCTCATCCTTTACCAAAGCTCCCACAAAACTCACAAAGGAAGAGGCGTAAGGAAGCTCCCATGACACGTAGTGAGAATCACTAACAGTGAAAGTAAGGGGCTGGAGAGATGGCTCAGGGCTTAAGAGCACTGGCTGCTCTTCCAGAGGTCCTGAGTTCAATTCCCAGCAACCACATGGTGGCTCACAGCCATCTAAAATAAAATCTGGCGCCCTTTTCTGGCCTGCTGGCATACATGCAGACAGAATACTGTATACATAATAAATTAAAAAAAAAAAAGTGAAAGTAAAAGTGGTGGAGAGTTGTGATCCACAGTGTCGGCATGCTGGATGCAGTCCACGCCACCCAAGGGTTATGTGTCTGTGTTTTTAGTCTGGAGACAACTGAGCAGTAGGTTTGGGTGACCCCATCCATCCTCTGCTTCCCGTCTGTCTCTTTTGTGCTCTGCAGCCGTGGTTGTGATGTTCTGAGCTTGGGAGGTGGAGGTGAACTGATGTGTTAAGTAGGGTGCTTAGCAGGGTACCCTGGGAGTAAGGTCTCAGTATGTCCCAGTTTTTCTCAACTCTAGTCTGCCAGTTACAAATTCCCGCCATTGCCCTTAATCTTCTTATCTAGGCCTCTGCAGAGTTCTTTTTCTGCCTCCCATGATACTCACACACAGTAAAGCTGTGTAGAAATCAGCTCCTTTGTATGATCAACCCCCCAGTAGTGTCTCATGTAGCCCAGGCTGGTCTTGAACTTTCTATGTATCAGAAGATGGCCTTGAACAGCAGCCCCTGCCTCTACCTCCCACGTGCTAGGGTTACAGGAGTGTGACATGACCACCTTGTCTTGTGGCTAGGAGGTAGACAGAGTGACTGTGGGACTCTGTTCTTGATGTGTTCGTTCCTACCCACAGACATCATGACACCCGTGAAGACCCAGCACTCCTTGGCAGGTCAGCCTTACGCAGTGCCCCTCATCCAGCCAGACCTGCGACGTGAGGAGGCCATCCAGCAAGTGGCAGACGCCCTGCAGCACCTACAGAACATCTCTGGAGACATCTTCAGCAGGTGGGGCCTGCTACCCGGCTGACCTGATAAGAGGGCCACCCCTTTCCTAAGCAGCATTCTCTGCAGCCCTAGGAATGTACCTTCTGCAGACACCCTCCTTAACGATCCAACTAATCCCCAGTGTGGAAAGGGTGTGAGGGGAAAAAGTCCAGTTTGGAAACCTTGTGAGTTCCTGAGGGCTCACCACTACTTACTATCTAATGCAGCCCCTTAGTTTTTCTGTGGTCCCACGGGCTGCTGCTATGGGGCCACTATGTCCTTCCTGCCAGACCACGTCCTGCCCTGACTCCTGCAGTCAGCCTGCACTGACTCAGTGTTCGGTGCACAGAGTCCTGTGCACTGAGTATGTCATGTCCCCTTTCAACTAGAGCATAAACTCTGGCCGGGATGACAGACCTGAGTGCTGTAATGCCTTCCTTAACTCCAACCATGACCTGAGGAGTGGGTCACTAGATGGTTTTGCCCTTGTCTGGACAAGAGAGTTGGCTACACAGATGCAGGTGGCTTGGCCATCCACTGTAGGTGGTCTCTTGATGTTATCAGTTAACACAGTAAAATTGAGACGATGGACCTGCTGCTGGCATGACAATAACAGCAGACCTCTCTAAGTAGATAGAATACACTCTAAAGTAACAGTAGCAATTATACTACAGTGAAGACAGAAGCCAGCACATCTCATTTATTATATTGTGCGTAATTGTACGTGCTGTGCTTTATGCTACTGGGCAAGCAAGAGGTTTGTTTTCACCGGCATATCCTCAAACCCAGGATTAATGTGCTGCATTATGGCAACATTACCTTCAGTAAGTTAGGAGAGGAGAGGTTTTCTGCTCTGTTGTGATGTGATGGGCATACCTTCATGTCTGTGGTCCTTCATTGGCTGAAACATCATGGTGTGCCGCATGAAAGTAATTATGTGAGTAGTTAACTACAGTTGTACTAAACATCTTTATTTAGCATTAGCCGTCATTGATCTAGCTGCATTAATTCTTTTAACCCTGGGGATAGTCTATGAGGAGGTCATGTTATCCTTCCTCCTTTTTTGGGGGAGGATGGGGGCAGGGATAGAGTGTCATTGACCCAGTCAGACCCTGAACTTGGCTGTGTCCTGGAGGATGACCTTAAGCTTCTGATCCTCCAGTGGGGGGGGGGGGGGGACTGTGGGGGGGAGTGAGCAGGATACTAAGTGGGTTAAGGCACTTGCTGCCAAGCCTGATGATCAGAGTTTCATCCTTGGGACCCACATGGTAGAAGGAGAGAAGTGGTTCCCAAAGGGTGAAAGGGTGTCATCTGACTGCTGCACACACCCCACGGAACATGCTACTCCATCTCCCGTGCGTGCACGCTCGTGCGCATGCATGCTCATACACACACAGAATAAATTTTTTTTTTTTTTTTTTTTTTTTTGGTTTTTCGAGACAGGGTTTCTCTGTGTAGCTTTGCGCCTTTTCCTGGAACTCACTTGGTAGTCCAGGCTGGCCTCGAACTCACAGAGATCCGCCTGGCTCTGCCTCCCGAGTGCTGGGATTAAAGGCGTGCGCCACCACCGCCCGGCCAATTTTTTTTTTTTTTTTTATATTTGTTTGTTATTTAAGCAAAGAGACTCTATCAGGTGACAAAGGCAGAGTTAAGCCCAGGAAGGGTGGCTGCAGATGGTGGGAGGGATTCTGTCTCTGGGAGTGGAATGGGGGTCTATTGGTTAAAATATTAAGGCCACTCCATGTAGTTAAAAGGGAGGTTTATTTTGTGGGGTAACTTACAAGTGAAGGGATAGGTTACAGGGTCTGGGAAAGGTGTAGCGCAGTCCGGCGGTGTTCTCTGGAGAACTCTGCTCGGTCTAGCTCCAGCATGTAAGACTAAAGTATGGTAGGCAATAAAGAAGGCCTGGCCTTTAATGTGCACAAGATACACCAGGGCTTGTGGGGAAGAGCAAGCAGGCTAGGCCTGGGAAGTGCCTGGGACAGGTGTTCAGTCTGGTCAGGGAAGCTGCAGTGAGGAAAGGCTTTAATGAACGGAAGGGCCTGGTCCTGTGAGTCTCACTCCATATTCCATTTGGTTTGGAGACCCAAGGCAACGCTGGGTTTGGCATGTCAGGGCACATCAGGATATTTGGCACTATTGTGCCCACCCCTCACTCTGGAGAGCATGGGACAGGCTGGGGTGGGGCTGTGCAAGCCAACACTGGGACTTCGTATGTATTCTGTGAGCCACCCGCAGTGTGTAGGGCAGTTCCTCATCTGCTGGAGGTAAATTTAGGAGAAGCCATTGGCCTGGTTGTACTTGATTTCTTCTCTGCAGAGACCAGAAGTCTGTCAACCATGTGACCACCAAGGGTAAGTGTGGGTGCAGACATTGTCAGCTGTTAGTTGCTAGTACCTGTGCGTAGTGGCTGCTGTCACAACTGTCTTCTTGCCCCGAGGTTTATAAACTCCTGGGTCCACGAGCCGTATGTTTCAGATGGCATACGTGGGCACCAAGCTAGAGCCACAGTGGCTGTCCTTCTCTGTCTAGAGCTCATGGCAAAGAGTTCCTAGACCCCTTGGGCTGAATAATCGGGGCAGACAGAGGTCGGCCAGCCATTGTCTTTAAGACCAGTCCAATAGGCAGGTTGTAGTGTGTTGCGCACTTAAGCCCAGGACTTGGCACGGCGCAGGTCTGCGGTTGGCACAGGTGCACAGAGACTACAGAGCTTGAAGTAGCCCCCATCTCTACACTTTTTCTTTGGTAGGATCTCCCAGCGAGTAGAGCTGAGTCGGCGCCAGCTGCAGACCATTAGGGAGAGGGTCTCCTTGGCCCAGGCTAAGATAGAGAAGATCAAGGGCAGCAAGAAGGCCATCAAGGTAGGCCATGACGTCTGTGTTCTGTGGCTGGGGCCCTGATCTTTCTGTACCCCTGCTGATAAGCTGCACCTCGCCCTCCTCCTGTCCATGGTCACCCCATTCTTAGTGCCGACTCTGAATCTGCAGGTCTTCTCTAGTGCCAAGTACCCAGCACCAGAGCGCCTGCAGGAATATGACTCCATCTTTACCGGTGCCCTCGACCCTGGTCTGCAGAGAAGACCCCGTTACAGGATCCAGAGCAAGCACCGCCCACTGGATGAGCGGGCCCTGCAGGTCTGAATGCCACCTGCATGTCACCCATGGCTGCTGGGAAGCAGGGACTGAAGGTTGACCACAGACTGGGATGGTGCTGAATCCATAAGCTTGGTACTAAAAACTCCATCCACTCTGATCCTGTCCCAGGAGAAACTGAAATACTTTCCTGTGTGTGTGAACACCAAGTCGGAGCCTGAGGATGAAGCAGAGGAGGGACTTGGGGGTCTTCCCAGCAACATCAGCTCCATCAGCTCCCTGCTGCTCTTCAACACCACAGAAAATCTGTATGGCTAAGAGAGAGCCAACGGGAAGAGGGGAGGGAGGGAGGGAGGCCCTGCTTAGGTAGCTTCAGGGGCCTGAGCCTGGTACAGTTCTCAGGACTGACAAGTTTGATTTGGCTTCTAAGACCTGGGTATCCAAAGGACAAATGCAGTGGGAAGGGGGGGTCAGGAGCCTGCCTGGTGCCGGGACAGGTGATGGCCTCCTGACCCAGCCCGCTCCACAGGTACAAGAAGTATGTTTTCCTGGACCCTCTGGCTGGCGCAGTAACAAAAACCCACACGATGCTGGGCACAGAAGAGGAGAAGTTGTTTGACGCCCCTCTGTCTATCAGCAAGAGAGAGCAGCTGGAGCAGCAGGTGAGGTGGAGTGCTTGGACAGACGAGCCCTGCCAGGGTGCTGTTCCAGGGAGGGCTCCATTAAGCCTCTGCCTACCCGGCTGTGCGGGTCCACGTGTGCTGCCTGCCCTGTGGTTACAGTGTGGGGCCTGTGCCCTGGCAGGGCTGTCACACTTCCTGTACCGCCTGACCCTGCAGGCTCCAGAAAACTACTTCTATGTGCCAGACCTGGGTCAAGTTCCTGAGATCGATGTGCCGTCCTACCTCCCTGACCTGCCTGGCATCGCAGATGACCTCATGTACAGTGCGGACCTGGGCCCTGGTATCGCCCCCTCTGCTCCCGGTGCCATCCCAGAACTGCCCACCTTCCACACAGAGGTAGCTGAACCTTTCCAGCCAGGTGAGTTAGGCCCCAGGATGGACCGGAGCCAGAGAGCCCTTGCTGCCTCCTTCCCCCACTCCTCACATGTTCCCACTTTCCTTACAGAGCTAGAGGATGGAGTGCTGCTGGCAGCGCCCCCGCCCCCGCCACCTCCCCCGCCACCTCCCCCAGCTCCCACGGTGGTGGTCAGTACCCCCCAACCACCAATGTTCCCTGAAGTGGCGGCTGCACCCGGCCAGGCTGCCAGGGAAGAAGACACGAGCAGCAGCGTGGCCCACTCAGGTAGGGGCAGTGCAGATGGGGTTCACGTGGTCGGCCCTCATTAATAGGACCCCCAGCTTTCTCACGTTGGATCCCCGAAGACTTCTCTGTAGGTCGTTTGTTCCCAGGTCCGGGATCTGCAGAATTCTCATTGTGGATACCTACCTCGTCTTATAGGGTTGATGGAGGGTTTCTGTGCTATGCAGAGTTGTGGGATTCTGAGTTTACAGGGCAGAGGAAGCCTGGGGATGGTGTTGTGCCCTGTTTCTAGTTAAGCCGGTGGGAAAGGGTCTGTCAGCAAACTTGAAACTTCCAGATTTCAGTTTTCCATTGTATCTCTCAGCCTATCTGCAGCCACTTTGAGGGGTGGAAAATCCTTTGTTGGCTCATGGTGCTCCGCACATCCGACTCACAGGGTCCGTCACTGCAGAGTGTCATTGAAATAGGGGGTGGAGAGGGAGGAGAGATGCCTAGACACGAGGCCCCTCAGCTCATTGTCTGCAGAAATCCAAGACCATCCTGCATAGTCCTAGAAGCCACAGTTCCATAGCTGGGCTTCCCTGTGGATGACAGGCCCCTCCGTTTGCCAGGATCCTGAAGTCACCTCCAGCCTCAGGCTGGGCAGCTTTCCTCATCTTGCAGTGTTGAGCAATCCTTTACCCTTCTTCTCCTTACAGCCTCTGTCCAAGGAGCTCCTAAGGAGGTGGTTGACCCCTCCAGTGGCCGGGCCACTCTGCTTGAGTCCATCCGCCAAGCTGGGGGCATTGGCAAGGCCAAGCTGCGTAGTGTGAAGGAGCGCAAGCTGGAGAAGAAGAAACAGAAGGAACAGGAGCAAGGTGAGGGCGCCAAGGGTCTGCTGCAGCAGCCAGGCTCCCGGTCAACCCACAGGAAGTCCCTTGTGGCTACCCTGATAGGTACCCTTTGTCCCTCTGGCCTGGGCTATGGGTTCCCTGGGAGAAGCTTTCCCGTCTTGAGCTCTCCCAGCTGAAACCATGAGGAAGTAGAACCTTTGACAAGCATTGTCCCAGGGAACCTGACGTCCTCAGAGATGAGACGGAGGACTGATGCTTATCTATCCTGAGGATAAGGCTTTATGTCTGCCAAGAGTCCTTGCTCATGGCATCCTAGTTAATCTGTGTGTAAAGTGTCAGAAGCGCTGGGTTTGCATCACGGATCTTCTGGCCTGCTTTGTGACCGTCTATCAATATAGCCTGGCCTCTTTGAGCCTCTGTGCCTATCCATACAGGGGTACCGAGAACTGAAACATGAAGGCAGGACTGGGCCATGGGCATGCCATGGCAAGAGAGCGGGTGTGGGAGTGCTGCAGGGGGCAGGTGGTCCCAGTGTGCGACTGTCCTTGATAATACCGTGCTTGGTCTCTTCTTCCCTCACCCTTTGCTCCCCCACCGCAGTGAGAGCCACCAGCCAAGGCGGGGACTTGATGTCAGATCTCTTTAACAAGCTGGTCATGAGGCGCAAAGGTAGGCATCTTGTGCATCTCTATCTTCAGGGGCTGGTGAAGTGGGCCCCCCCTGTCCCTCTCTCATCGCCTCTCCCTCCCAGGTATTTCTGGAAAAGGACCCGGCACTGGAACCAGCGAGGGGCCCGGTGGAGCCTTCAGCCGAATGTCAGACTCCATCCCCCCTCTGCCGCCCCCGCAGCAGCCCGCGGGAGACGAGGACGAGGATGACTGGGAGTCCTAAGAGTGCTTTCAGCCTTCTCCCACAGTCAGCAGGACCGGCTGGGAGGGCCTCCTTGGCCAGCTGGGGCCTTTCAGGTCCTGTTGCCCAAGGAGGTCCAGGGGGTTTTGTGCCAGGCCTGTACCCAGTTTCTCTTCATGGAGTGAGGGCTGTGTGAGCCGTCTGCTGCTCCCCTGCTTCATGTGACTGCTTTGCTCGATCCTCACCTGAGGAGTACCACAGCGACAGGGTGGAATGAAGAAAGTCACTGTAGACCTGAACCCAAGCCAACAGTGCCCTTCCAATAAACGAAGGGTAGCCATGCCGGCTGCCGACAGCTTCTTGGAGTGTGAACTCTCCTTCTCGAATGTTCTCAGGCACGGTGCGGGAAGTCTGGGGGACTGGGCTCTTTCTCCGGGATCAAGGCAAATGGAGATGAGGGCAGCTATTTGTGTGTGTGTGTGTGTATGGGGGGGGGGGTATTTTTCCACTGGAAAAAATGTCTTGGTGTTTGCTGAAGGGGCTGAGGAGAATTTAGAGGCAAGCCAGGGAGTCCCGTGAAGGACAGAACACATGAGGGACAGGGATGTAGTTAGGAACTGAAACTGGCTTGAGGTCCCTGTGGATACAAGAGCCCTGAAGATGTCGATTCCTGTGGTCGAGATGAGAGGATCGAAGGTCAAGGACTCCTCATTGCACAGATGCCTCCTGGGAAGGCCAGCAGGAAGTTGGTCCTGGCCGTGTTGGGTGGGACAAGCGGATCTTGGGGGCTGAGCTGCCCCGGGCTAGGCAGGTGGGGCTAGGGCTTGCTGTTTCTTCAAGCTGATCCACATTTGCTCCTGGTAGCTCTTGGGTATATGGGCCGTGTGGGGGCCGCTCAGGTGTGCCATAGGCTGAGCTGGAGCTCTCTGGATGAAACTGCGCGTGCAGGAAAGTTGTTACCGAGGGGGCTTTGTGGGGAGGGGAAGGCAGCCTGAACCTTCCACACAGCAGTGAGGGCAAGACCGGAGGTGGTTTTCACCTTCACTGGGTGTGGGAACCAGATCGGCAGCTCCGCCAGGGCAGGAGGGTAGGCGCATGCCCGCAGCTTCTCTGGGACCTGATGGTCCCTGAGGGTGGGACTCTGAGTTACCTCACAGTGGGTGGCCATCTGATAACTTCCCCTCCTCTGCCCTCACATGGGAAATATGGCAGGTACCGTTCCTCATCCTCAGCTATCTGTCAGCCCCCCAGCTTGCCTCTAGCTTGGTGACAGACAACCTTGATACTCAGATTCTTCCCCAGCGCCTTCCCCGGTGGGGACCTGACCTGGAGTTCTAGTCTGGGAAGGACGCAGAAGATGGCTGGTCTGTTCTTACCTGTCCTGGTGTCCTGGATCTGCAGTCAAGGCCAGGTTTCATGGACCCAGGCCAGTGACATGTGTTAGAGATGAAGTCATCGAGAAGAGCAAGTGGATGGAGCCCAAATTCTCTTGTGAAGTCAGGGACTAGCTACTGTCAAACAGGGCCTTGCCACCCCTGGCCCATGGGTGACACCCTCAGACCAGGGTCGTTAACAGGCAGGGCTCAGCCGCCTTCTTTGAATAGGTCTGTAAAACAAACCATAGTGTAAAGTAGGAAAGGGAGCTTTGTTCAGTGTGACTCCCCTGGGGAGAGGAGCAAAGAGGTCCTCTTCTCTCCCCCACTGCTGCCAAGTCCATCTTTGGAGTCCTAACATGAGCTTTAGGTTTAAACAAAAGGTAAGAGATACGGTCAAATGTGGTCCAGCCCATCATGACAAGCCAGCTGTATGGAGCCAGGCTCCCCTCTGCCTAGTCCCAGAGCCTCAGCCTTTTCCTTCTCCTGGTATGAGATCCTAGGGGAAATTCCAGTTCCTGGAGTACATCATCAGCTCAACGGTCTGATAGACAAAGGAAGGACACAGGTGTCCCTAGAATATCTTTGTTCTTGTGAGGATGGTCCCAGGCTCCTTTCCCCAGCCCTCCCCCATTCTCTGAAATGCTGGAGATACTTCAAAGGGTCTGATAAGTAAACTGTCTTAAGTATCACCACATACTTGTGGGGGGACACGGGAGCCAATAGCATATATGGCCAGGCCTTCACAGCTTCATCAGCTGTTGTTACCTACCACTTTCACAGCCCCTCTGGCTCTTTCCCTCTCCCCATCCTGCACCTACCCCCTGAGAAGGGTGTGTTTCAGCTCGGAGACCCAGTCCATGCCAAGGAACTGAATCCTCAGCAAGTCACAGCTACCCACATCTCTGCTCCATGGGGCTTCAGCCCCAGCAAAGAGGGCGCTGCCTACCAGGCCAAGTCATCAGAAGTTAATCCCCTTGGCCCTCTTCCTCAGACCACAGAGAAGAGCAGGGCTTCTTCAGGCGGCCTCCAGCCAGGCTTCTCTGGGGAAGCCCACTACTATTCCAAGCTGCCAGGCCTACATGGTCTCTGGATCCAGTCTTATTTCCACCCCTCTGCTTGGGATTGCTCTCGTCACCTGGTCCGCCTGGTTTGTTTTCTTGATACTGTGGAAGTCTAGAGAGCTGGCGGGATTGAGAAATGGGAAAGCAAAACCTCACACGGGCTGCACCAGCGGGAGTGCAGAATCCCAACCAGCAGACCACCAGGGGCAGTCTGGTTTGTCTCGAGAGTATGGGGCAGACAATGCTTTGCAAAAAGAGGACTTCGGAAGACCCGTGGTGTCTTGGGACTGCTTAAGATCCTGGGTTTTCACCAGGCAGTGGTGATACATGCTCTCAGCTCTTCGGGAGGCAGAGGCAGGGATCTTTGAGTTCCAGAACAGCCAGGGTTACCCAGAGAAATCCTGTCTTGAAGGAAAAAAAAAAAAAAGAAAAGAAAAAGGAAGCTCCTGGGTTTTGAAGCCTGGGGCTGGAACTTGACACAATCAAACTTTAGGGCAACAGTAACTCAGCCCACGGAGCCTGGAAGTGGGTTAAGGAGGCAGAAACTGAAGCATCACAGGTTGGCAAGCTTGAGGAGTCCCAGGAGGCCCTCCAGATGGCACTGTCCTCACAAAGCGGGGTCTGGCTGCAGGGCTACTCAGCGTTTCCTGATGGCCAGGCCCACCAGCAGTCCCTCTGGGCACGGATGTGGCACAGAAGGGGAAGAAACACACCACTGCCTTGGGGCTCACTTCATGGGCTGCGGAGAATGTGACCTGACTCATCTCTGCAGAAAGCAGCAAGGAGCCCCCAGGAGGCAGATCCTGCAGCCTGTTGTGTGACACTGTTCCCAGGAGATGGGAAGAAAAGTCTACTCATCTCTGATAGGGAACCAATGTGAGGCGCCCACCAAAGTCCAACTCGGTGAACCAATGAGTTTTACTGGGGTTGCAGGAATATGGGTGAAGGGTGACAGGGGCAGACATTTCTCAAAGACAGCTGCCATCACCAAAGGCCTGCTCCAGCATGACAGCCACCAAAGCTGGAACACTGGAGCACACCGCACAACCTGCAGGCAGCGAGAGGGTCCCTTTCAGATAGCTTGGTTGGCCTGAGCCTTTTCCAGGCAGCTCAGCTTGTCCTGGCATGCCTGCCAACAGCCCCATGATCAGCTTCAGGCACTTCCTGAAGCTGTTTTGAGTTCTTTGCTGAGCTTAAGGAGATTCCTCTCAAGATGGACTGTTTACTTTCCCTTAGATTCTCCTCTGGTGAATATCCTGTGTGTTAATGAGCTTCCCTCCACGATTGGAAAGTCGTCATTTCATAGGAACTGCTTCACAGCGTCCCACCACTTGCTCCTATGTCCTTTCTGCCCGATTTTCTGCAGTGGTCCAGAGCCTTGGAGGGGGTAACATGGAAATTTGCCTGGTCTTCTAACTCTAGTAGGGTAGGGAAACTAATTTTTAAGTTTTAAAAGACAAGCGTCTCTCTGTTTCAAGACAGGCAGCCCTGGCTGCCCTGGATTCGTTCTATAGACCAGGCTAGCCTCAGACTCACAGAGATCCACCTGCCTCTGCCTCCTGAGTGCTGGGACTAAAGGTGTGCACCAACACAGTCCAGCACTTTTTTTTTTAAAAAAATCTGTTTCTAGAACATGGCTGATGGTCAATGTCAGTGGTATTCCTTGTGTGGTAAAATGCAAGTGTGGAAAGTACAGAGAACAAGAAACAGAAGAACATACATGATCGTCGACAGCAGCAATAACCTCTAGTCATAAGTGCAAGTGTTGGGAAGTGCTCAGCTAGTACATCGTACTCACTGATTAGAGCAATGGCAGTTATTTTTTCCCTGGGACCTATGACTTTCCTGGCCATAGGTTCTGTGTAAGCCCCCAGCACTAGATGTGAATGTCCTCTCATGAAGCAGACCTTCGTCTCATCGGAGAGCTGGGTCCATCCATAAATACATGTGCCACTATGGCACTATCTGGCAAGTCTTGTCAGGCACTTTTTATTATCAAGTATGCAGAATCCACAACTGAGTAGGACTTGGGATCATCTTTATTCTCAGTGACCTGAGTAACATCTCTGGTAATACAAGAGCTGGACCATGGGATGGGAACACTTGCAACTCAGTTCAAGACCTGCAACCAAAGCAAGGGATGTCTTCAGCGAGAGTGTCGCACCCTCCAGTTTTGGAATGTAACCAACATCAGTGGAGATCTTTATTGTTTTAGTGGTCTCTAGAGCATTCCTGGCCAACATCTCAGGAGGTAATCCACCCCTAATACTGGGATTTTTAACAACTTTATAGTTTCTGTGAGCATCTGTTCTTACTTTTACAAGATATCCTTGTTTATTCTTTGTGAACTGATTTTTTGTTAGTTTTAGTGTGTGTGTGTGTGTGTGGTTTTTTTGTTTTTTTGTTTTTTTTTAGATTTACTTATTTAGGGCTGGGCGGTGGTGGTGCACGCCTTTAATCCCAGCACTTGGGAGGCAGAGCCAGGTGGGTCTCTGTGAGTTCGAGGCCAGCTTCGTCTACAGAGGGAGATCCAGGACAGGCACCAAAACTGCATGGAGAAACCCAGTCTCAGAACGCTCCCCCACCCCCCCACCAAAAAAGATTTATTTATTTAGCATGTATACAGTGTTCTACCTGCATCCCTGCAGGCCAGAAAAGGGCACCAGATCTCTCTACAGATGGTTGTGAGCCACCATGTGATTGCTGAGAATTGAACTCAGGAAGAACAACCTTAACCTGTGAGCCACCTCTCCAGCCCATGTTGTATTTTTTTTTGTGTGTGTCTTGGTTGATTTTTTTTTAATTTATTTTTTAACTACACTCATGATATTCATTAATTTGTGTTATTCATTGATTACATTTGCAGTATTCATTCAATAACTATATTTATGATATTCATTAATTTCATGATATTATGTCCTGA